GGGGCGGGGTGCACAACGTTTGCTCAGTTGGTATTAAGCTGGACTGCGGAGCGGATTGCCCTGATTCGAATCCTTAACGAGGTGTTCTGAACTTGAATTGTTTTTCGTGAAGTTTTAAGGCTCTCCACCTCCACCCATTTGGCTCGGTCCTGTTGGTGATGAAAGTTAAATTCGGAGGTCCCACCTTTTAAATAACCTTACTGTACTGAAAGGGGCGTTAACTCTAAACGTACAATGGCTGACTGTCCTGGGAATTGTTTCCTGATTTTCTTATGCTTCTTCCGTGTTTCTGTCTGCGCAATCAATAACACGACGTGGGCTGCCTTCTTCTGTAGACTGATACACTTTGTCAATTATGTCTTTCTCTTCCTCCCTGTACGTCGAGCTCCTCACAGGCTGTCTCTCCCATTTTCTAGTCCTCCAATACTACTCGTTCTTATCTGTTTTCTCTCTCTTCTCTCTCTCTCTCTCTCTCTCTCTCTCTCTCTCTCTCTCTCTCTCTCTCTCTCTCTCTTTCTCTTTCTCTCTCCCTCTCTCTCTCTCTTTCTCTTTGGTTCTCTCTTCTCTATCTATCTATCTATCTGTCTATCTATCTATCTATCTATCTATCAATCTATCTATCTATCTATCTATCTATCTATCTATCTGTATAATCTTCGGCACACAAGTGACAACCTATTTTTATTGCAAGTGCCGTAAAAGTCGTACTAAAACAAAAATATGCGGGTATTGCTCTGCTGCTCTTATGATTATGGGGAAGTCCTCACGAGGCAACTACTGGACTGTGTGACGCCATCTTGCAGTCTTTCGGCCCTGTATTTGGTGGGGGCCAGGATCAGCAGCAGCAGTGACTCACATTGTCAGTTTCAGCATACCGTTGGTGTGCTTGAAGAAGAGAAGCGCCGTCCCTTCAGCTGAAGCCCTGATAACAGATTGTTGGTGAATGTTTAAATAGACTTGGTTCGGGTGGAGAGGGACCGGGGATAGCAGGGAAGGAGTGTCGCAGAGATAACGGACGCGTACGTCGCCTCTGGATTGACTAGACGAGAGGAGAGGTCCCGGGAGAGGAATAGAATAACACACTGGTTTTGTTGTTTGTTTGGGGGGTGAGTGGG